TAAAAAAGTCATAAGTGTTTAATATGACCCCCATTAACAGCTAAGCACTTGTGGATTCTAAAGATAACACTATCAGTCACCGCTTTTGCTATTTCAGCTGCAGGCAATTCATGGAACGCTCTTCGTATTCGTGCAATCAGATCCTCTTTTGAAGCAACGGGTGCAGAATAAACTTTTTGCTTTATTACTCCCCAAACATAAAAATCTAATGGAGTGAGGTCGGGAGACCTCACTGGTCAATTCCACGGTCCTAGGCGTCTTATCCATCTATCTTCAAACATTTCAGTCAGCTGTTGATCGATTTGATTGTGACAGTGAGGTGGAGCCCCGTCTAATTGATACCAACACTTCCTTAGTTGGCCTAAAAGTATATCATCTAGAAAATCTGCCACAACCGTTTGCAAAATATTGAGATATCTGTCGGAATTTAAAGTTTCTTCGTCGTAGATATGGTAAGATATTTGGTTGTCTTTAATTAGACAAAAAACATTTACGCTAAATTTATTTTGCAAGTTTTTCCCGGATAACATGAGGATTTTCAGATGACCACAAATGAGTATTATGTCTATTAAAAATACCTTCTTTCGTACATTTTGACTCGTCTGCCCATATAATATGTTGCAAAAATTGTGGATGTTCTTGGTGTCGCACTAACATCGTAAACACTAAACTAAATTGTACACGTTGCACGGCATCACCCGAATGAAGAGCAGAAAGTAGCTTAAATTTGTATGGATGCATATCATTAGTTCTTAGCATCCTGTGAAAAGACGCTCGTGAAATGCCTAAATCATACTCTGCGGCAAGAATTGAGGATTCTGGATGAACATTAAAATAGGCTAGCACATTTATCACATTATCTTCATTTGAAGTTATTGGTTTTGGCTTCGACCATACTCTAGTTGATTTGCTAAAATTCTTCTTAACTTTTTTCTGCTCATTGGTGGCAAATTTCGATATGTCTCATTAAAAACTGTACATGTTCTGCTTATAATCCCATTGCAACGTCCGTGAATGAATAATAAATTTAAAATATCAGCATTTGAATATGTATTGTTTTCCATTACTTATAAACACTAAATTAAACTGTCACTGCAAGAGACTAACAACAAAAATTGCCAGTTTAGTTGTTTGTTTTGAAGTTTTGCTATCTTCGCAAGAAATTACATGATTTTAGGTGATTACACAAAAAATAGTAGATAACTTAAAAACTAGAAGAGATAGGAATAGGAAACCCTGATACCGTTCGAAAGAGAATAAAATTGTGTATCAGAATATAGAAAAACATATAGGGTGTTCCATTAAAAAAACCGACTTATGAAGGCTTGAAGTTAACTATACTCGGCATTAAATTTCTATCAGCCTGTATGCAATTAAGCCACTTTGAAAGTATGGGTGGAAAGCTTAGGGGTCTAGCTATCCCCGGTATAAATATTGTTGCTTAATCTTTCTTACTATAAAATTCACATAGTCTGAAGCTAGTCACTGTTTCTCTCCATTTTTTTTTGAAAAAAATTAAATATCTCGAAAACGACTAATTTTAGGAATAGGGAAACTTCATAAGACTCGATCTAAAATAACACAAAGAATCCAAAATTGCGGTAATATATAGGGTGTTCTATTTAAAATAAGCAAGTTGATGGTGACTTCGCTGGTATAATCGGAAGTGGTACGCGGACGCCATTATTTTAGTTGAGAAGGGCATGCCCGAAAACCTGGTATCCTAAATTTTCAAAATTCAAATCAAAGTAGTCTCTGAAATAATTCTAATGGGCCGTCACCGTGAGACACCCTGTGTATAGGTTGTATGAATTACATTATTGTTTATAGTGTTTTAGTAAAAGAAAGTATTGTTCGTTATTTAACTTTCTCTATGACCACATACACTTGAAATAACACGTGTTGAGTGCCGCTTTATTGGACTTTACTACTGATAAAGCTATAATGCTGACCTGAGTATATAATTTATTACTCCTTGCTTTTTTATTAATTTTATTAAAAAATAAAAAATCAAACAATTAATCTAAGGAAGCAGCTTAAATATGTATTTTTTAACTCATTATTTTCCTTTACTTTCATAAAATTCTTTTCTGTTCCAAAAAATATATATTTTATAGCTACTTATCGGTAAATTTGTTGTTTTTTTTTAGTCAGTATAGTAGGAATTGTTTGCTGTTTTTTAGCACTAACTACGCTCGACATAATTACACACAATTATGCATCAAAAGACAGCTAAATTCGTAAAAGAAATCGTTAGATTACAGGGAAATCGATGATTAAACCGACAGCTAGGCAGCTCGCGTCGCTGACTGACGATGACGGCGCCAATGGCTAGCGGACCGATTGTGACAGCTCTAGTGATAAACCATCCAATTCAAATGTCTAGAGTTATATAATTACGAGACAATTGAATATCCCAAAGTCTGAAGCATTTTCTTATCTAGATTAGAAATAATAGAACATTACTCAATTCTATAGCCAAGAAATTCCATCGATTATAATTTTATTTATAAATTGTTGGAGCTGATAAGAATTCATTTTCGTCAGACATAAGCATAAGTAATAAATAATTGTACATTATCTTTTTATAATTAATAAATTCTGCGTCTGAATGAAATAATATTTTTATAATTATTATGTTTTAAACAGATTAGTTATTTATATAGCTGTTGCAAAAAAGTGTTAGCCATGTGACGAAAAATCTGTAAAACTAGAGGCTGAATTTGCTAACTAGAGTGCCAAAAAAACTTTTTAAAATAGTTATTTTAATAGAAGACAATTAATTTATGTATCAACGCAACGCAGCATAAAATAATATTTAAAGATATGCGCAATTTTCCTCTTACCAAGTCCATTGTTATAAAATACAGGGTGTCTCAGTTTTATGAGACTTCGGGAGCAGATAGTACGACGAAAAGTAATGGCACTTTGTCATATAAATTTATTTCGAAATCTCAACCGTTTTCGAGGTACAGGGTGTTAATAATTAAAAAAAAATCATTTACTGTAAATATCTTCCGAAATAATACAGGTATTTGAACTAAATTTGGTGTACGTTATATTGGGACAAGCTTTCATAAAATACTGTAATATCAAGACTTTTGCACAACCTGTGGCGGAGATATGGGAAACTCATTCGACTATTTTATAAAAAAAAATATTACCGTCCTGTGCAAAATAATAATTGATTGTATTCTGAAAAAGCTTGGCAATGGGAACAAAAAATGCCACTTACATTTTGTCGATACCTGTCTCTGTTTTACGGCAAATTGGATTTTTAATTTAAATAAAAAAATAAAGTAGCATTTTTCGTAGCAATAATATTACTATTTGAAGAAAATCATTAATTTCCAAGGTGAAGATTTTTATTTGATGCTAGACCTTTAGCATAAAGGTTGAATATGTGGTTGAAATTAGATGGGGCTAATGCTCATTCTGGTAGAGTAGTTGAAAACTGGTTAAATGTCAACAGATAGATTGGCAAACAGGGCCTTATTCCATGGGCAGCGAGAGCACCAAATCTTACCCCTCTGGACTTCTCCATATGGAACATAATTCAAAATTATGTTTATAAAGTCCAAATAAATTCAGAACTATTAATACGTCGCATAATAACCGCATGTGACCAATTAAAAGCAGACAGGATTCAGCTCCGGTGCATACGATTAAATATTTTAACACCCTACATGTATTGAGGCAAATTGTGCCCATTTTGAACAACTGTTATGATATGTAGCAACAATCATTTATTAGTTACTTAATCTGTTGTTAAATTAATTCTCAGCATTGAATTATTATGCAATTTCGTTATTAACCTGTTAGTTAAATTTTTGATGTAAATTTTATTTACTGAAACGGTGTTATGCACACAAAAAAAATTCCTGGCGGTAAAAAATGTGTGACAAAAATCTAAAAAAACATAAAGTATCATTATATTTCGTTGTACTATATGTTCCCGAAGTTTCACAGATTAAAACTGAGGCACTCTGTATAACTTTAGACGAAAATATTGTGACGACAATCAAATAAATAAATCGTAGTAATCTATATTATGCAAATAAGCGGCAATAAGTGGTGTAGAAGTATGCTAGATCTGTGGTCAAGCGGTGTGCCGCTCTATGCTCACAATACACAATGCTACTGACTGCCATAAAAACACGTGCCATACAATCGCTTTCGATATGAGTAAGAAATTATTATTATGTTAACTTTTGTTGGTACTTATTACGTACTATACTTATATTTCATGGTAAATTCAATGCGAAGCGTTTATTGTAGAAAAATAGACACTGCCTCTTTTTGTTTCATACTGCTATGCAAATACTTTATATGTATTCTTATAATGTAAAGAGTTTGAATAAAATTACATAAAATAAAACTCGACCTACAGCTAACCCTGTACTACTTTGCAGCCTCAGACATTTCCGGTCTCTAAAATAACTTACACAAGTGACTAATTTTTTTACACTAGCATAACAAATGACTTATTTCAGTATTAAAATGAATGCCGAAAAGACTGACATTATAGAGGTAGAATATGGTACCACAATAAAACCGTAGGTAAATTCTATTTTAACAACAACTGAGTCAAAAAGCCCGCAAAAAAATTAAACTGTGATGAAGAGGCCAAACATGTTTTTTTAAATGACTCAAAATTAGCTGATAAAATCTAAATAAAACTCTCTAATAAAACGAATCTTTATATTATCAGTAGCATTAATTTTACAGGGGAAGGTTTTTCCTAATTCGAAGTGGCAGAGATGTATGATGTAATTGGTGGTTTTTTAATCTTAAAAAACTACTCTTGACTTTTTTGATGAAACAGTACATTTTTCCGATATACATAAAAAAACTATTTAAATGTCTTTAATACTTTTCAAAATACAGTTATATTAATTAAAACGTATCGAGTTATCATGATACAAACACGTGCCAAAAAATTAAGATCTCGGCCTTGAAATTGTTTATCAATGAATATCAAGTCAATAAAAGTAACTCACATAGTACATCAAGCTGGGGCAGCCACTTCTGAATCATGACATTGTCGGGCTTGCCCTCCATGGTCTCGTTCTCCCATTTCCACATCACTCTCTGGGGTAATCTTTTGAAAGCTTTCAAAAATGCGTTCACTTTGTCCTTAGGGAACGTATCACCCTTGACGAGAGACCCCAAACTAAAAAAGATGGCTCCTTCTTTTGACTCGTTTACCCATTTTTCTATATTCTAAAAATTTTTTAAAATTAGCCTACTTTCACATTAATTAGAACGTGGTAGAGGGGGCAGAAAGACTGTCTTTTTTAGTCAGTATTTATTGCCATAATATTTAGCTAAGAAGTGGATAATAGTACGAGTCATTTTATGTTAGAATTCTATTTAGTAGAGTAATTTAAATTTCTATCTACCTTAATTTATCTATCTATCTATCTTAATAAGTTGGTATTAATTCGCATTTGTTCTCTTTCATATTAATATGGATAGAACTTGTTTTAAGTTATGAATAATTATATGCAAAACAATTTAGTATTGAATGGGTTTTGTTTGACAAACTGGTAGATACAGCAATTACAATCGTAAAATTCTTATTTGTAGTCACGTGAGAACCATGATAGTTATAATTGTCAACAGTCGACGCTAAACTACATATTACAATATTTTCACTTAATTACAAAGGTATTAAACAAAATAAAAAAAATCGTATCGAATGAATTCAAACAATGCACTTCGGTAGCAGACATCCAGAGGATATCTAACGTCACAGATAATATTCCTAATTGTTGACATTGCAGAACTACTACTCCATGGGCTGCATGCCACAACTAATATTGAACTACCGTTAACAATTTCAATATTTGATTATTACACTATTTGCACTTATACAGTGTGGAACAGCCAAATGGAATGAATTCAATATATCAATTATTTTACATACTTATAAAAAACCTGAGACACGTCGATTCTGGATTCTAAAATGACTTCTTGCAATGTAAAAATTTCATCCCTAAATTCGCCCTCATCGAATGCCAGTTGCAACCCTTAAATTTTTAAACGGGCTTATGATCTAACGGAATTACTGTTTAAATAAAATTTATATCTGCGATAATCTGTGTTATACTTTTTTCAATGCACCAAGACTGTAGGTGTTACATAGACAAATAAAATATGCAAATATCTACTTAAGGTATTTTAAAATTTTCTACAACAATGTGACAGCAAAGGCATGTAGCCATTTTCATGCAAAATCAATGAAATTTTAAGATTCTAATAGTATTTATATATCATATCATATCAATAGTATTTATATATATGTACAAAATAGAAAGTAGACTAATTTTCCAAAATTGTAGTAAAGTTAAATACAAGATATTGGCGCACAATTTTTTAATAATGTGTGTCACAAGATTGTCGTGTTTGTATAGTATATGTAGTATAATAGTCAAGACTTACGCTATTTCGACAAACCTTATATTCTTTTTATTTATTCTCTTATACCTGGCATATATGGAATGGGGACTCGTTTGTCCCACCAGCGGTTGGCATGGAGTCTCAGGTATGAAGGTGCAAAAATTTTAGAAGAAAAAATCCAAACCCAAAAAACCCACATATCGTTTTCGAAGGAATTTAATTGCCATATTATTTAGCTAAGAACTGTACGAGCCCCACATATCATTTCTGAAGGAATTCGATGCGCTGAATACGATCCTGTAGTCAAGCCTCATGACTACCCGATGAATTTCGGAGAAATGTGAAATTTTCGGGTGAGAACTGGCCTAAAACTGATTTTTTCATAAATTTTGTCCAAATATATAATTTTCGTAGTATTTTGAGGTGCTCAACGCGAATCCATTAGTAAAATTTATCCACGGTTTTGATATTTCTCAGAAAATCCGATGAAAACTGGCTCGAATTCATATTCAAAACTGATTTTTTCCTAAATTTTGTGTAAATATGTACAGGCTCTCTACTGTAAGAGGGCCACTCCTAAGTATCTCGCTTTTTTGTTGCAATTTTTGAGGCCTTGATGCTTGTAAAAACAAATTTCTGATCCATGACCAACTTTATGAGTAAACATAAAAAAACCGGAAAAGTACCGAAAGTTTAGGGCCGTCTAACTTTTTTATTTTTAGAGATAGAGAAAACTTATTTTGACAAAATTTCATGGCAAAATATGATATCTTTCATCTGGTGTAAACAAATTTTTGAAGTATCATATGTAATTTGCTGCGCCCTCTATGCGGACAAAAAATATTTTCATCAAACCAGATTGTGGATACAAAAAATTGCTTGTTTTTTCCTCTTTCATGCGATATACTACATGTTGTCTTTATCTTTTATATTTATTACATTTTTATAATTTTGGTATAAAAAATGTAGATTAATGTATAGAAATTGTTTTAAACAGGTCAACTACAAGGAATTTTATGAATATAATGTACTTTTTTGAAGCTAAGAATCTGTAATATCTGGCACCCATCAGTTTACCATCATAGAAGTAAGGTCCTATGCTTTTGGTATCAAGAATTCTAACCCAAACGTTTACTGAAACCTTTGTTGAAATCCAGTTTCTCCTTGCCAATGTAAATTATCATTAATTCATTTGAAGTAAATGTTCCTATTAATAAATTCATTTTTACAATAATTAGGCACATCTGACCAAAAAATTCTTCTGCATATAAAAGGATTCTCCCTCTTGTCACCACCTACACAACCCTAATCTCCTCGGTTTATCTTCCTGCCTCAAGCTCAAGAGGTGCACTTTTTTCACCTTATAACATTTGAAACCATTTTCTCGTAATATCCTTCTTGCACTATCCCTCTTTAAATTGTAGTTCACTTCAATCGCTCACTCTTTTGCTCATTTTTCCTATTTACATAATTTGAAATTCTGTTAACAACAGCTGATTTTATTAGCGAAGGTTTTCTACATTCCGCAAGTGCTTGAATAGAATTGAAATTGCATTGATGGTACAATACAAACATAATACACTTCTCAAAATATCATTATTATTCAAAATTTAAATTTTTCAAATCACAGTTAACTGTAATAATTTCCAAACCAACAGTTATGTATAAACTATAACAATAAACGATTTGTTAAATAATGACATTATTGGGATGACACATCTGTTTTCATAGCGTGCTACATTTAGTGTAAGCTACTTTATCTGTGCAAGAACAATGTTGAAGGCTTAGTTTTCTCTAAAGTAAAAAACCAATATTATAATATATGTGTATTTTGCTTAAAGAAGTGCATTATATTTATTACATTTTTTATAGTTGACACGTGTCTACAACAATTTCTACGTTAACACGAAAATGTTTACATTTTTTATACCAAAATTATAAAAAATTTAATAAATATAAAAGATACAAGTAACATATAGTATATCGTTTGAAAAACAAGCAATTTTTGTAGCCACAGCCTGCTTCGATGAATTTTTTTTTGCCCGCGTAGATGACGCAGCAAATTACATATGATATTTTAAAAAAATCTGTTTGCACTAGGTGCAAGATATCAATTTTGCCATGAAATTTTATAAAAATAAGTTTTCTCTATCTGTTAAAATAAAAAAGTTAGACGGCCCTAAAGTTTTGGTACTTTTCCGTTTTTTTTATAATTGCTCATAAATTTGGTCATGGATTTCAAATTTTACGAGCATAAAGGCCTCAAAAAATGCAACGAAAAACATATAAAGATTTTTGACGTGTGGTACATAGGAGTTGCCCTCTTATAGTAGACAGCCTGAATATCATTTTTGTAAAATTAAAAAAGTAACTACTAATTTTGTATTTTCTGAGAAATATAAAGGTCGCTAATAGTATCATATTAAGCGCATCAAAATACTACGAAATACTACCTATTTGGACGAAGTTTAGGAAAAAAATAAGTTTTGGGCCAGTTTTCACCCAAAAATTTCACTTTTCTCCGAAATCTATAAGGAAGTCATGAATTTTGACTACAGGATCGTTTTCGACGCAAGAGATTCCTTCGGAAATGATAAGTGGGTCTCTTGGATTTGGACTTTATTTTGTATGCCTATGTTATCTAAGGTAATACATTTTTATTTCTGTGTATATACAACATACAATATCGTCACATCAGTAGTCCTTAAATTCCATTAACGATGCCTTTTGCAAAAATTTAGTGAGAGAGCCTATAATATTATCTACTTATTTTTTATTTTATTTTTCATTACAATACATTTTCCTGTCAAACTAGTAATAATTACCTACGTCATTTCAAAAGCAATTTATAGAACGGACATATCCTAATTTACAAAACATTTAAGATACTGTTCTCTTATAAGAACTGTTCAATATGATCATTGTTGTCAGTGAAGGTGCACACGAAAACCAAATTTTCTACGTTGTACCTTTGTTTGATAAAAACCATAGTAGGTTATCTTGGTCAATATAATGTTATTAGTTTTTTGAGTGTATCATGAAATATATCAGAATCGTCCAAGACCAAATCATCATTTCGGATATATTGAAAGTGGTTTTCGAGAAACTGATTAGTTTAAAATTTACAGAGACAATGCCGGATGTCTTCTTCAAGCTCGAATACCCACTGTGAAAGTATAAATTCTGGAAATTATGGAAAAGAGCCCGGCGATCAGATTAATACAGAGGCAGATTACAGTTTCCAAAAGTGCATTGAATAGGGTAATCTCCTAAGAATCAGCTTCTTCTAAATCTTGTTCTGCCATTGGTCTTCAATAGATTATTCGCTAAAAGCTGTAGACATGAACTTCCACAAGTAAATTCTTTCCACGGAAGAATCATGTTGTAGGAATTGTGGCATAAATGTCTACAGCCAACATGTTCACGCCGATGGAAATCCCCATGTGGTTATGGAGATACAATTTAGGCCAGGAATATAGAGTTGGACGCGACTTCTTGTTTCGGCAAACTGAATTTATCACTATAGATGCTAAATATTATGTACAATACCATATTAGTCCCCACAGTCATAAAAATGAGATTGTTTACAGGCTGGTTAATTGTATAATTTTTACGTAAATTCACGGTTTTCGCTTATAACTTTTTTCCATTCATTTTCACGAGAAAACAGTAATGTACTTTTTTTCGTCTTCAAAAGACCTACAAAACTAGCCCTCGAGCGTCAAAAAATATTGATTAGATTAAAAGTTATAAACAAAAGAAGTTTATTTATGACTTTCGAATTAAACATTTATAATTGCGTTATTATTACCAGAACGTTTTGGCATCGCATCCTTTCATTCCTTATCACTGTCTAATAACTCACACGAAATCTGGAATCGGTAAGTTGAATAGTTTACAAGTTATCCCGAGGATTTTCCACAATCGCACTGATTTTTTTCATGGTTGATTTCATAATAATACATTGAAATCTATATATTTTTTTTAATTTCAAATTTGCAGCCTGGTAATTTTTTTATTTTTTAGCCTTAGTTGCAAAAAAAATATTCAAAGCACGCGCGTGATATAGTTATATATTATTACATATTCGGAAAGCTTATAAAAAGAGCTTTAAGTTAAAAAGAAATCGTCAAGATTCGTTGAAAAATAACGGAGTTACAGACTGTCAAATATATTATTTGCAAGCAAATTTCGCTTTTTTAACGGCAGGACTATGAATATTATCGTCATTTTCTTTGGACTCGCTGTCGTTCGCTTCCCCCACTCTTCCGCCGCGCCACGGCTTGTCGAAAAATCAATCGACCCACTGACTTTTGACAATATTTTTTATGCACTTAACATACTTCCACAAATAAAATATTTTTATCTGGGAAAGTACTCGGGTTGCCGGTTATGACAGTATTTTTTTGCCGCTACCAACCTAATTTGTTTAACAATAGGCCGTCAACTTTGACATCAATATTTTTTGACGCTCGAGGGCTAGTTTTGTAGGTCTTTTGAAGGCGAAAGAAAAAATACTCTACTGTTTTCTCGTGGAAATGAACGGAAAAACGTAAAACGTAACGTAAAAATTATACAATTAACCAGCTTGTGAACAATCTTCCCCCATTTTTATTACTGTGGAAACTAATATGTTATTGTACATAATATTTAGCATCTATAGTGATAAATTCAGATTGCCGAAACAAAAAGTCACGAAATAGTAATTTCCCAGCTCTTTTTTATGACCTAATTATGGGACATCATTGGAGATGCTATACACAATTTGCTGAATAAAGGAATACTGAGAAGAGAACATTTTAATTTTTTCATACAATTAAATTTATTTTATAGAAAACGGTGGTCATATTGAACAGTTCTTATGAGAGAACAGTTTATTACTTTTAAAATGACGTAATTATTTCAAGTTTGATGGATGAAATAGAAAAAATTTGCAAAAGGGAAAAGTTTTTATAAAACAATTTATCTTTAAAATTAAAAAATAATAAATAATTTTATTAAATCTGCTTATTTTGATTGTCGAAAACTATGGCAGCTCCATGTACATGGAATATTGATGAAATTAGTTTTTAATATATTTTTTATACATGGATAGATCTATTGGCTTCATAGGGACATTAGGACTTACCGAGGGTAGTGGTTTTGGTGTTCCCAAGTGAATTCCACCTACTTCTATATCTGCCGGTACAAGTGGTCGAGGTAGATTCAAAGTGAAGTGACTGTTTGAGAGAAATAAACTTATATTGTACATGATGTTCCCATTTTCAAGCAAATCCTCGCCGAGGTACTTCTTGGATAATTCATTTCCTGGAATTTCCATTTTATATTTGAAAACTAATCTCGTATAGAAGTACATCAGGGTGTTTTCTAAACGCTCTATGAAAGACATGTGGTCTGAGTAATCCATGAAGATGACAGGAATGTACGCTGGATGGTACGGACTTCCTAACCAATCGGGTACCCATGGTAAAATAACGCATGACGATAGACCTGTGAATATCAAAATCACTACTATAACATAGCATGTACATAATACATATAAGAAAATTGAAAAAAATAATTATGAAAGAAGATTTCGGAATATAATGTTTCACATACTTTTAACGATGTTTCTATTAGAACTCGGCTCTTAATTAACAGAGGTCAATTCCAGTGAGAAATCTGAGAATTCGAAAAAAGTTTTGGAATAAAATTATTGCTTTTGAGAAGTTACAAGAGTTTACTTAGGTAAAATTTTGGCACTTATTTCTGGGGCACTCTGTATATAGTGATCATGTTGAAGTATACATCGCATCTGCGCAATGCAGTCACTTTTAAAGGAAATTTAATTTTTAAAATTAGCAGTATTTCTGACAACAAATCTTTATATATTTTTAACTATTACTAGTTTGAAGAAGAGAATTGCTAGTAGATCTTATTAGTAAGTGCTTAAGCAAATGTTATCATATTTTTTGTGATGATCGATTTATATGAAATTACATTGTTCTGGATTTAAATATAAATTATTGCTAATTAACCAAATTTAACTTATGTGGAATACTAATTGTAAGATATTAGAAAAAATTGAGGTTATCTGCGTATGAAAAAATTACATTAAATTATCAATAATATAATTTATAAATAGACTGAATAATATGGGTTAGAAATGGAAATAGCTTCCTTCCATTTCCACAGATTTATGACATCGATACATATTGAAATCTGTTCTGTTCATATTGAAATCTTATCTGCAAAGATAAGATTTAATCAGGTTTATCAGATTTATAGAAAAGCTATCATTAGTGAACGAATAAATGTTGTAAATAAATAAATATGTGATATATGCTGATTCCATAAAAAATAATAGGTAGATTATTTGTATTTATTATTTACTGGTACTTGTTACAATACTTACATATTTTTTATTATAATTTTGCAATCTTTCTTTCATGTGCTTTTGCACGGTAAAGAACCCTTTTGCCATATGCATGTGTATTCATTACAGTACAGAAGAAGAAAAATTTTGGAAATAATTATTTTTCTTTCTCATTTTCAGAATTCAATTTAACTCCATTCTGCGAAGTCAACGGATAAAAGCAAACATAAAAGCTAAATTTTTGCATTTTGGGGAATGTAGTAGCATTAATTTACTAATTTGTCAGATCTATTTGGTAACATAACATTTACAGATTCATTACAAGTGCAAGAAATTATGACATTATATTAACATTTTTAAAAATATTACAAAGCTGGGATCTCCAATTTATTAACACCATAACATTGAGAGCTTTTGGTGATTAGAAATGTTATTTTCATTTTATTTGTTATGTTATAAAAAATAATCTAATGAGATCAATCTACTTCTTCTATTTTCAATACCCGATAAAAAAATGTTCATATTCATATTCGTGTGTCGTGATTTCCCGATTTTTTAATTATTTAATGCCATTTTAGAGTAGTTTTCACGAATTTTTTCAATTTTTTTTTCAATCAATTAAGAACTTATAAGCATTTGAATATTTTACCTACCTATAACTTGGGAAAAAACTAAAGATATAAATTTTTTCCTTTTGTTCGCTTTGAGACGTATTTTTATTTAAAAAAATCTAAAAATACCTAATACATTTTGAAAAGTTTTTTGATTTTTAAACCAAAAGAGCGCTATTTGAAAAAGAGAGGCTTCTTTTTTTACTTCCAAAAATTCTCAACTAGATATCCTATTTTTTTTTTCATTTTGTTCGTTTTGTAGCGCATTTTCGTAGTTTTATAATAAAATATAAAAAGGTTTTTGAAGTGTTTTTGTTTTTTAAATCAAAAGAGTGCTTTTTGAAAAAGAGTGTTCTTTTGTTACTTCGAGAAATTCACAAAAAATCGTCTTTTAATATGCAAATTTATGGGTCAAATTCTATAGTGGGATCTTTTTTATTCTATGTATTTTTTTCGAATATAAAAAATGTTTTTAATTAAATTTTTTACAGATAATGCAAGCTACTAAAGCTACTTATTGTAGAAGTAAATCGCGATGATTAATTATTGAAAATACTATATTTTTAAAACTACTGCTAACGAACATTTTTTACCCAAAATATTCAAATGTTCATAACTTCTTCAGCATTAAAAAAAATTGAAAAAATTTGTAAAGGCTACTCTAATGGGCACTAAATAATACTAAAAATTCAGGAAATTTAAAATGGTCGGGATTTGGCATGAAATGCCTTATACGTATGGAACTACATAATATAAATCATGTTGTCTACCTATAAATGGTGCTTGATATTTCTTAACCAAACCCATAAAGCAATTCGTGTTAAATACTTCCGTCAAAATCACATCGAATTTGTGATTTTCCTGAACAAATTTCACTAAATTTTCACTCTGTAAGCCTCTAGGACAGTCCATTTCAGCGAATGAAGATATGAAGTGTGAACCATTATAATGTTTTGACCTTGAATGAGGCACCTGTTCCAAGTTTATGGCCCCCGTGTCAATGTTGGGATTTTGCAAGCTGACGTCTCTATAATTCTTTATTGGATCCTTTTGTGGAAAGTAACTGATTACCGTCATATTATGTCCTCTTTTGGCAAGAGTTTTGAAGAAAGGTTCAAACGCCATGAAATGACTTTTACCAGAATGTGGAAATATCACCAAAATATTTAAACCAAAGCCGCAACATATTGACGCTGACAATAAAATTAAAATCCTGTACATTGTGTCGATTAATTTAATACCAAAAGTGTCTATACATCACAGATTTTAAATCACACTACTAGCGCATAAAATGTTGTTTCTGATTATCAAGAATTTTTTTATCTAGCATGTGGGTTAACAGGTTATAACACTTACTTATCTCTGTGAGTTTATTATAAACATCAACAAAAAAATGATTTACTGTTATGTACACATTTTTCGATACATCAGACTTTCAATTATCTAATCTAATGTTATTAATAGGAATAAAGTTAACTCAAATGAAATATGGATGCGCCCACCATCACAAAGAACAATCTCAGTTTTCCATTTAGTGTCATATTTAAACAATATATATTTAATTATTACTACATCTAATATACATTGTACGATATACAGGGTGTTTCTTAATAATATCCGAATAGTTAAAGGCGTGATTCCACATGGAAAATTAATGATAGTTAGCATTATAAACTATGGTCCAAAAATGTTCCGTTGCGAAAATACGGGGAAATTAATTAATATTTTCGAAACCGCTTGAGATATTTCAGTGATATTTAGTACGTAGTGATAGCTAATAAAGGGGCATGTTTTTCAATACAAGCATACTTTTTAACTTTAACAGTGGCGTGCGTACGAGCACTGACTTTGATATTTAAAAAAATGGTACGCCAGTGGTTTTCCCAAAATAAAATTATTTTTGAAATCTCCCTTCAATTCGAAAGATAAGAGTTCTCTTGAGGTTTTGTCCTGTGATTCGCCATTTTTTGAGTAAAAAAAAATAATAGAAAAACAAACAACTTAGAAAACAGAAATAACATACAATTTGTACTGATAAGTAATTTTAGTAATATTGTTAGAGACTTTTTAAACCACCAGTACCTAAATAAATGGAAATTGTATGTTATTTATGCTATTTAAGTTGTTTGTTTTTCTATTATCTATATGGCTTTAGGGAGGGGAGGACAACAGAAGATGCTATTTATACGTTAACATCATATATTTATGACAAAATAGATAAAAAAGTACCAACATTGTGCATCTTCGTTGAACTCTCCAAAGCTTTTGATACCGTGAGCCATAAAACTTTATTGAATAAAATGGAGAATTACGGATTAAGGGGAAAAATAAATCATATTTTGAAAAGTTATTTGTCAGAGCGCCAGCAACTAGTACAAGTGGATGAAATTTGCAGTGGTACAAGACCTCTTACACGTGGCGTTCCGCAAGGAACGGTTCTTGGACCGCTGCCTTTTATTATATATGTAAATAGTTTACTGCAACTGGATATCGGTGGGAAGGTACTAAGCTTTGCCGATGATACAGCCATTTTGTTTGAAGGTAAATCATGGGAAGAGTTAAAAACTGTAAGTGAAAATGGCTTTTCATTAATCGAAAAATGGTTTAGATTTAATTTACTTACCCTCTAATAGTCTACCTAACATGGGACCCCTAAAAATAAATGAAAACCTTTAACCTCTACATTCGAGAATCCAAATCAGTCCAAATAAGGATAGATGAACATTTAAAATGGGATTTACAAATTAACTACATTGTTAGGAAAATTAGAGGCGTATTATCACTTTTTAAACATCTAAAGAATTTTCTCGATATAAATCATCTGAAAATACTGTATTTTTCACATGTTCAGTCTCAGCTGATGTATGGAATTATTGGCTGGGGGGTGTGAAAGATTTGCGTCTAAATAACCTTAATGCCATCCAAAAATGGATATTAAAAATTATCTATGGAAGACCATTAATTTACTCTAGTGATACTCTGTTTTCAGAAGCAAATATTTTTGATCCTAGACAACTGTAATGCCTCACCCTGTTAACCACAGCAAAAAGATATGTAATATCCATTAAATTAAACACTGTTTGTTTATAATTGTGTACAGAAATTGTCTTATATTTAATTGTAATCTTACCTGTTATTTTTTATTGTACTTGATATTTAAATAAACATTATTATTATTATAACTAGTTTTGATAATTGTAATAACTTACAGAAAGTACTTGACTATGTACAACCTTGGTGTGTAGAAAATAGCCATTGAAATTCAAGGCCTTAAGTTAGCAAGAACATTATGTCCATAAATGGTAATTATAGTATCGACAAGACTGTATTATCCCGATGCAAGGATTTGGGTGTATTGTTTGACGCAAAATTTTCGTTTATTGATTTAGTCATTGAACCGTTAAAATTTTATGGATTTATAATAAGAAACTGTAAGCAATTTACTGACATAAATGCTATTAAAACTTTGTATTTTGCGTATCTAAATTAGAGTATACAGTAACATAAAAAAGGCTCTTGAAAGTGTTCAGAGAAAGTTTTTGAAGTATCTGGTATTTAAAGATATTTGGTGTTTATCCCAATAGGGGTATAAGTTACACTGGTTTAATTTAATTAGTCGATTTGATATTACCAGTTTAGAGACTAGAAGAATTTGTATTTCAGTAACTTTTTTTTATATAAAATTTTATTCTTATTAACTGCGTTGAATTGCTTTCTTCTNAATGACTAAGTTTCTTGAAAACTAACAAGAGTAAGAAAAGTTTTAGAATTAAATTCCACATAAAATAAAGTAATATTTTTTTAAGTCCGCCAAGGGTTAAAATACTCTGTCACATTTTAATAGTGCATCATCCGTTATCAACCCTTTAAAATGCTTCAATTGAACTCTACTTACTGTCGATTAATGCTCTTGGTACACTCACATCCCTGTCCAAATTTGGTCTTTCTTAGTTCAAGTATAACTGAGATATTGATTTTTTTCGAAATTTGAAACCCCACTTTCAAGGCCAATAACTTATCGGTGGTGCAGATTAGTATAAAAGTAAATTACGTTAAATCACTATATTTTGGATTTCCCTACATGCGCTGCTCTGTGTCGGTTCTTATGCGAAACACTGTATACTCCGCAAATTGGAAGAAGAAAGAAAGTGATATGTGGGAGAATTTCAGCATTATACACATTTCAACACATCAATTTTTGGATATGAATTGAAATATACAAGGTGTTAAAAAATAAGTACTCAAAATTGAAGAGTATGTAAAACATGTCGAAATATGATGAATTAATATTACACCGTTTTGAAGTTATGAAATAAAAACTGAGTTACCCCTTCAAGGGGCTTTATCTCCCTTAGGGGCCGCCACTGACAAAAAGGTTTTCATCATATTTCGACATGTGTTACATACTCTCCAATTTTGAGTACTTATTTCATTAACACCTTGTATATGTAATTTAATTTAATTTAATTCACCCAACGGGAGAAACCCAATTACATGATGAATAGGTATTACAGCTACAATAAATACACATTAACACAAGAAGCATAAACATTTAAAATAAGTAAAAATAAACATTACCAAAAAATACAAACGTTAATTAGAAACAATGTCAGTCAATAAATAAAAAAACAGCAAAACGGTAAAGTCACAAAAGAATTAATATATCTAAAAATCATCATAACAACAACAGAAACAACAATATAAGTAATACAAAAACAAAAAGAAATTAAAAACCGATAACTCAATTGTAAGAATAGAAAATTCTTTTAATATGTGCTAAAGAAGTATTGAAAATGTCTAGGCTATTCTCCATATTATGATAATTAAGGACCCCTTTGATGTAAAGGGGTACACCGCAACATGTTTGTGCGCGAAGAAGGAAGACTGAACAAACTATTTGATCTGGCATTTATTCGAGGAACACGGTAATTTACTTGTGTTGTAAGCTCAATGCAATCAATATCGTGGTTGACAATTTTGTACAAGAACATTATCGAGTACATAACCCTCCTCCTCATTAAACTGTGCATTTCAAACCTATCCTATCAACTCCTTTGGATATCCCACAGTGATAGACTCCATCTAAGATGAAACTGGCCGATTTAAGAAATCTCCTCTGCACTTTTTCTAATCATGTTATGTAATTATTATAATAGGGAGACCAAACCACAGAGGCATACTCCAACTTAGGTCTAACAAAGCATATATATAATGTACGTAATGTAGACATATTCTTAGATATTCTAGACTTATTTCGGAGAATAAAACCCAAGTTTTTGTAAGCACCTGTGACAGATTCAGCAATATGTGCAGAGAATGTTAATTTTTGGTCAAAAATGACCCCAATATGCTCAGGTCTAACCAGTACCTGATCACGTAGGCTGTAATTAAACTGAGTAGAACTAGTTTTATTGGAGAAAGACATTACATTACACTTCGAAACGTTTAAGGGGTGCCGATTATTATCACACCAAATGGTAAGCAAATTCAAGCTGTGCTGAAGCCTATTACAATTAGATACAGAGTTGACATTGGCATAAATTTCGTCAGCATACATTAAAAAATTTACATTAAAGTTTCGCGCTATATCATTGATGAAAACTAAAAAATAGTGGTCCTAGTATTGACCCTTGAGGAACGCCTGATGTTTGACTAAATATATCTGATTTGTCACCACGATATCGCACAAACTGAACACAATGTGATAAATAATATTTAAACATAAGTAAAAGAGAATTATTGATACCAAAATTGTGTAAGTGTATAAGTAATAATACCATGATCTAATTTGTCGAAGGCTTTAGTGAAATCTGTATATATAACGACCACCTAACCTCTCATATCCAAAGTCTCAGCAATAAATTGAGTAGCACACACAAGATTGGACACTGTCGATCTACCAGGCATGAAGCCATGCTGCTCAGGAACAATTTTTAGCATAAAAAGAAATGTGTTCGCGAATAATAGTTTCAAATAATTTAGAGAAGTTGCATAAAATAGCAATAGGTCTGTAGTTTTCAACATCCTCCTTGTTACCCCTTTTATAAACCGGACACACACGAGACTGTTTCCATAAATCAGGGAAGGTATTAGATCTAAGGATTTGATTAAAGATCGTGCATAACGGTTTGGAAAATAAGCAAGCACAATCCTTGATAATAAAGGCCGGCAAGTTGTCTGGACCCATTGTCATATTTGCTTTCGGTCTCTTTATAGAATTTAAAATTTTATATTCAGTAATATGTGGGATGCCATTATCGTTTACATATTGTGATATTATGCTTAATAAAACTAATTACATGAATTTTCTATAACATTTTAATTATGTAATCACATTTTTACAATACTAGCTTTTCACTAATTTAGGAACTTTTAACTTTTGTCTCTTTAGTTTTGCAAATAATCCTGATGGCGTATTTAACCGCCTTATACAAAATATAAATAAATATGCTAACAATAAATATTAAGAAAGCCGCTACATCAATCAAATAATATTTGTAAAACGGCATATTGACAGCTGCTGTTCTCATGTAAGGAGCTCCTTTATGCCTGGCAACGTATTCCACCCAGTAAATAGCTGTTTCGAGGGGAGGCATAGGACGGTCTCTGAACCTTTCGGACAGGTCTTTGGCTTTTTGCCTGGAACTAAAATGAAAAATATCATGTCAGCGCAACAATAGGATAAAAAGGTTTGTACTATTTTTAAACGTATCATAATAGTTTTATTTATTTCAATATTATGAAGTCATTATACTAATATATTGTATTTAATTATCATAGTGCTATAGATTTAAAGCCTATTCTATATCTGGAGCTTGGTAGAAAAAGGGCCAATATCAAAAAATTACATTTAACAACCAATGAGTCTCCTGGACTACCCATGTTACATATTTGCATCACAAAAAGGGCCAATGTCAATATGTATTATAAGCCTTAATTATTTAAATTTTAAAATGGCCTAAGTCCATCTTAGTTTAATAGAAAAAGGGACAATGTATGGACTTTGGTCCTTAAAATACTTTTAAAACGGTTGACAAACGACCAATGTCCACTGCAATGGACGTTGGCCCTTTTTCTACCAAGCTCCAGATATAGTGGATGTAAATAAAATACTTGTCCAAGCTATGATGGTGAATTATACGCCAAGAAAAAGAAGAAAAAAGAAAGAGTTACTCTGGCCAATTGAGAATTATTCAAGGAATGCCCTGAATTCTTTGAATACTTAATAATAATATTGAACCTAAAAAGTCTAAACCATTGAACCTAAAATCTAGCCGCACCTCGCTCGTGAAGATTTGGGGAATCAGAAAAAGCACAAAGTATATTAGGGACTTTTGATCGCTTTTCTAGTTTCAGTGGTGATTCTGAACTACTGAAATAACATAACTATTTTCAATCGACCCCAATCTAATGCAACATCATACTCGAGATGTTCAATAACTTGCAGTTTATGTTTCACGTTCTTGCGATCAAGGTATTCAGGTTTCATGATTTACCAAAAATGGTAACCAAGTACCTCCAGTCCTGTCCTTTTTTGGGTAAATTTTCGAAAATCATGTATCTAGGTTTTAGATTCAGAATTTCTAGATTCAATATTAGTTAATAATTGTGGGATACCGTGTGTTCTTTGACTACATATTTCTAAATGAACAAGGACCTCATCTTGCTGAATATATTTATATTTGGAGGAATATTCAAATTGACTTTTTACTAACCTTTAAAAAATGTAAGAAAGTTCCTGAAAAAAGTTATTCTGTGCTATAAGTTGATGAAATTTGACGTATTGAATGTTAAAGAATTACAGATTAAGACTAGATCTTTAATGAAAAAGATCAGGAAAAGCATCAGCAGGTTATGAATTACCAATTAGATCGGAGTAATTGGTTGAATAAGTAGGTACATCTAGGAAGCCACAATTTATTATTAATAATAATTCAGATCGTGCTTCCCAAAAAAATTCTTAGGGTGATGGCCTTAATGGGTGCAAATGTCTAGCTTTTAAGGTACACAATGTTATGTTTAAAGGAAAAATAGTATATTGTTATATTAGGATTAAAAGTGTTACTTTTGTGGCGAGCAAATTTTGTATTTGCGAGGCGAAGCGTAGCGAGACAAAAAAGACACTTAATTCGAATAAAACATTAAATTTTTTCTCCAACCGAAATCCCCTATTTAATTATTAACTTGTGTTTTGAAATTATTCAAAGCAAATTTTGATAATAAAGTAGGTAAGTGGTATATATCGATGTAGTCATGGATACTTTGTCAAATATTAGTCGCCATATTGCTAATTGAGTTCATTTGTGATTGTTTGTGGTTCAGTTTGCTGAAAACTCTGTAAACATGGAATCTAATGAAGATTTAGGTGTACTTGAGGAGATACTTGAGTGTGCGAAAGAGGATTCTTTGAATCTCGTGTTTATGAATGTGTCTACCAACGATTTATGGATTGGTGCGAAGAAAAAACCATTGAGTTGTATTCAGAAGATGTATTCATGGTGTATTTCTCAAACTTGCCGTCAACGCTTTGCTCACAATATTCAATGTTGCGGTCAACGTTGGATATAAAGAAGAGGATTGATATCAGTAAACATTCAAAGTTACGTGCTTTTCTCGAGAAACAAACTGAGGGATATGTACCGAATAAATTGCGAGTATTTACAAAGGAGCAAGTTGATTGCTTTTTGAATAGTGCACCTGATAATTTATATTTGATGATGAAGGTAAACGCTTTAAAAATAAAAGAACAACAATTAAAAAGCTTCTTTATAGGTCGTCCTAATATTGGGGGTTGCAGGCGCATGCCCTTCTGATGAATTAGTCAATTCAACAATTGATGATGTTGAAGATGTGAAATCTGTCTTAATTACAAAAATTCCGAATACCAAAACCAAGGGACCACATTCTTTTACTGTGCTGGGAGACAATTATTAAGTTTTTATCGGAAATATGTTGCTTTACATCCACCCGGATTGGTAGAGCGTTGATTATTTCTCAGATATGTAAGTGGAAAGTGTCATCGAATGGTGGTCGGTATTCATAAAATCAGTGGCATCTCGCAATAAGTGGCAAAATTTTTGAAGCTGGACAACTGAAAAGAGTACAGTGGACACACATTACGACGAACGTCTGGAGACCTCACTTGTCTTAAAAGACACGGAGGATGGAGATCGAGCACTGTGGCGGAAGGGTACATTGGAGACTCAGTTTTGAATAAAAAAAAATATTGCGAAACGAGTGCTGAAAGTTGATAATGGTAATGATAGACCAAGCACCGTTGTTTTGTTCTGATTTCACAGCATTTGAAAATCTGAAAATAATATAACTATTAACGAAAACGTGTTGGACTGCTTTGAGAATTGCTCCAAGAATGAGGGTAGTGGCAGTTTCAGTGGTTTATTTAATTCTAATAATTGTTCAAACTGTGTATTTAAGCTAAGGGTTAAAAGTGTCAACTTTAGCTCCTAGGATTAAAAGTGAATACTTTTGTTGCTAAGGTACCATTGTTTCTCAGTAAGTAAAATGTCAACCGGACAGTCAAAAAATGTCATAGTTTCGTGATGGTGGGAGAAAAATTTTTTTAGATTGATTTAATAAAAATGACTTAATGGATTTATTTCAAATTTGGCATGAATTTTCACCTTTGATGTTCCGCAAAGACAGTTTTTTTGTGATGAAGACTAATTTAGTTTTTAGAAAAATTTGTAGCTAGAACAAATTTGGATTATGTATATGCCTATATTCAGTTGAAATTGTTCAGTTCCTCTCAATTCTCACTACACTTATTAGATTCAAATGTAATTGACTATTATAAGGCAACTGTACAGTCTTTGTTTTCAATTGCTTTAAGCAATACATTAAAAACACTATCGCATATCTTGAAAAGTTGGTGTACATTGGAAGAATATATTCTATAATATTAATAACCTATATCCTGAAACTTTCTAAGGAAATTAAGTGCATATTAGTATTAAGTTGTATATTTTCATAATAAAAATTATCTTGCTATGATACTGTTAAAAGGTGAATAATTAGAAAGTTAAATTTTAAGAAGTAGTTCCAATTTATATCTTTGTTCCGCCAATATATCATTTGTATTTGACGAACCAAAATCAAGGTGAAACTACTCGTAGGTATGTAACGCTCAACATTCTTTTTAAATAATAAATCTTGCTTAATTTCGTTGTTGTCTTAACTATCTGATATAATGTGGTAAAAGTACCATTATCGCAGTATTCGATTTATTTATGTTGGTATGTGATTTGGCTAACACGAATGTATAGTTTCTCTTATTAATTAGGTTGTGTAAGAGATTTAAGGAGCTTTTACTTAAAAAACGTTAATCTAGTATAATATATTAATACAGGAAACTAACATTATTTAAAAATCATAAATGTCACTTCATAAAGATAAAAAATATGTAGATTAGTACAGGCAATTTTTGAGAGTTGATGAGTTAATAAAATGTTATTCTTCTATAATTATTATACGTTACCGTTGATTGCGATTGAAATCAACGGACAATCTCAACTTAAACAAAGCAAACGAGTTAAAAAACTGTCTATGTCATTTCTGTTATACATTCGAAACATCAGAACAAAATAATGAAAATGGTATAAGAATATATACAATCGTAATCGAATCTGATGAAGTATGCTACTGTAATAAGCATGGAAAATTATTCCAAAAACTTTCAGTTGGGTCTATATATTTACGGTATCATTTTTAAAATAAAATTTGAAATTTCGTAATTATTCCCAAACGATTTGAATTAAACTCGCAGGCGCAGCATAAATAGATTCGGTACTTACTAAAAATATTCAGAGGTGTAGATATGGGAGTCATATTTATAAACAGAAATTAAATTAATTAAAGAATTAGCTAGTTTAGAACACAAACTTTTTAAAAATAGCTTGTTGTCCCTTATTTCAAACAATCTGTTATTCAACATTCAAACATTACTAATTAATTTGTACACTAATGTCTTGCTGCTACTGCAGAGGTATTGAAAATTGCAATTATCTCAAAAATCATACCTCCTACTTAAAAATTTGTTTGTAGATAAAAGACTTATTTCGAAAATTGTAAGAACCCAATTTATAAATAGTTTTATTTATTAAAACTATCCTACTAAGAAATAGTAAAATTATTAAAACTGCACTACTGAAATTTTTAAATCAATGACTTTTTTCAATTTCTGATAGTACAATATGTTTAAAAATGTATTTTTAACAAAAACTTCACATCAATTGTTATTTTACAATTTACAACACATTTTTCCTGACAGTTTCCTGTCAAGTTTGACTTTTAAATTCATAGCCATAGACTTTTGAATTTTCGACGATTTTAAATAACACAGCTACAAAAATACGTATTATTTTTGTTGAAAAGGACAAAGGTTTTGAAATTAACAAGAGTAAGGGAAGTTTTGGAATTAAATGCCCCATAAAATTAATATTTTTTAAGTCCGCCAATGGGTTAAAAAATTCCATCACATTTTAATGGTGCATTATCAACCCTTTAAAATGCTTCAATTGAACTCCACTTACTGTCGACTAATAGTCACACCGTGTACCAAATTTGGTTTTTTTTAAGTTCAAGTATAACTGATATTGATTTTTTTCGAAATTTGAAACCCTACTTGCAAGCCCTATAACTTCTCATGGGTGCATGTTAGTATAAAGGTATGTTGCGTTAAATCACCATATTTTGGGTTCCCTTACATGCTCTGCACTGTACCGGTTCTTATACGATCAAACATTCAGATTAAACGAATTTTTGTTTAATAAAGGATTACGTTGTATTCTTCCTCAATAATTTATGCGATATAGCGCTTCAAAGGCAATGATATAGACTCCAGTTTGACCCCTGCCTCATGCATCAAAACTAAGGGTACGGAAGGAAGATTCTATTTAGTTGACCTTTCCCCACTTGCAGCTATTAATTTCCGATAAGAATCGACAGCTGTATATGAGTCGACGGTGGCGGAAACCCGCCTCGTTAGAATTTATCTAGCAGCCATTTTTCCACAAAATTAAGCCGGCTAGGAAACAACAAAAACAGGACATATAGTCCTCACATTACTCACTCGGCGCTCAGGACTTTTTTCAGCGCTTTATAAACCTTATCTTCTGTGGCTTCCCTTAATTGAAGGATGACGCCTCCGCCCGAAGCCTCCAAAGCCCTGGCGTTGGTGTGCTGGTCGCCGAACTGGGGCATCACGACAACGGGGACGCCGCAGTGGACGGCCTCGATGGTTCCCAGAAGGCCGCCGTGCGAGATGAACGCCTTTACGTTGGGATGACCTACACAAGAAGTATATTTTAAACATTAGATTAGCAGAAATTTGTGATATTAAAATAAAGCGGTGTCAAAATTAAACAAAATTAAAATTACAGCAATAATTCAAGAATTAATACTCAAATTAAGTTGAAAATTATATCTTTTAAGTTGAGAATTTAAATGGCAGTAATTATTTATTGTATATTCAATTGTTCACTGCTAGAGGATTTGTTTTGCCTGCTCAGTCAAAAGTCAAAACGGTATACAGGAAAAAAATGGTCTTTCCCATTTTTTCTAGTGGAATATTCAGATTCAGTTTATATTTTATTTAGTTTTCCAAATAAAACTCCGGTAAAACAGTATACAGGGTGTCGGAAATGGAGGGATATACAGGGGAGCTCAAAATTGTTGTAGTACTTCATAAAAAAAATTTTCCTATCGGGCTTCGTTGTGGAATTATTCGCCTTCAAAGAAAAAAATTTGAAACAAATTCCAATTATAACTTCTAAGTCGTTACCATGACAGTAATGAAATTTGGGCAATTAAAGTAACTCGTGGTAATGTTCATTTCGAAGTTTAAATTGATATTCAATATGCCTGGATTATACAGGAGCAGACGAAATTATTCATTTAAATTTATACATCTTTGACAGCGTTGCCTAATTTGACATTTTCTTTCATAGTTCCATTCCTCTCTCACTTTGCTAAAAAAAAGGTATATCATATATCAGTCGATACCGTTTTTGAGAAAATCGAATTTTATTAACAACATACATAAAAATGCGATATTAACATTTTTGCAAAAATCTTGGAAATTGAGATGACTGTCAAGTATATATGATTCACCATTTGTTGAATCAATATCAAGGAGGATTTTAGCTATGAAGAATTTGCATATATTAATCTAATGTACGAACCTGCAGAATGTAATGCTCCTGAGGGAGTTCGGATTTACGATTTACGCTTTCCAAATAGAATTTGCATATTTGAAGTGACGAAAACCTCCAACCTATTATTCACACAAAACACTAACAAAAATTTTTCATTAATGTATGGATGGGAATAATTGGAAACTACTTAGTGGGACCACATATCATTGATGACGCTTTAAATGAGGATAAATACCTACCTACATTTACTGCAAGAATACCTTAACCCGTTATCGGAAGACGTCCCTTTAAATATTTGAAATAATATGTGCAGCACCCCATTTTAGCAGAGTAGTAAGGGCTTATTTAAATACCACATTTCCCGATCGATGGATCGGTCGAGGTAGTCCTTTTCCGTAACTGCCTCGGTCTCCCGATCTTAATCCTCTGGATTTTTTCTTTAGGGCCTTCTTAAAAGTCTTGTTTATCAAACTCCTCCAAAAATAGTAGGGAAAAATTATTAAATCGCATAATTACATACCCAGACATCATTAGAAATTTTATTTCGAGTACAGCAAGGTGTTTGAGCAATTTCAGAAAATGCATTGAAGTTCAAGGTGCACATATTTAACATCTAACTTAACAGTTATATTTTTTCTTTTAATTCTATAAAAACCAACATTTTTACAAAAATGTTAGTATCACATTTTTAATACAATAAATGTATGTTAATAAAATTCAATTTTCTCAAAAACGGTGCAAAATATCGACTGATATATGGTATATCTTTTTTTTAACAAAGTGAAAGAGGAATGGAACTATGAAAGAAAAATGACAAGTTTGGCAACACTGTCAAGGATGTATAAATTTAAATGGATGATTTCGTCTGCTCCTGTATAATCGAGGCATATTGAATATCAGTTTAGAATTGGAAATGAGCATTACCATGAGTTACTTTAATTGCCCAAATTTCATTGCCGTCTTGGTAACGATTTAGAAGTTATAATTGGAATTTGTTTTTCAAACTTCTTTCTTCGAAGGCGAACAACTCCACAACGAAGCCCGAGAGGAAAAAAAAGTTATGAAGTACTACAACTATTTTGAGCTCCTCTGTACACCCCTTCATTTTCGACATTACCTTTCCGGACACCCTGTATAAGCACCTGAATTTGTTCCTGTTCCGTTGCAAAATAATACAGAGCCTTTATAAATGATTACAAACCACGTGACTGGTAATTTTGTTTGAAATTAAAAATTATCAAAACAATAATTTTATTGTTAGACTGCATTAAAATACAACATTCTGTTTCACCGGCTGTGATTGGTATAATTTTTCACGAGATTCTAATCAACAATCTGCGATCACATTATGTCCAGTCTAGATTTAAAGGTGTGTTATTAATCATTGTAAAGGAAACATTAAAATTGGTGGCGACAAGATTTAGGGATTTTTCGTTACCAGTACCAGCCCTGCAATGTTGGTTGTCTAAGCTTCTAAATATTTATAAAGGCCTGTATACAGGATGTTAAGAAATTCGCAGACACGGACCGTGGGATCATATTAAGCTAGATAAGGTGATAAAAAAAGTGTCTATATTTTTCAATCAGACCAATATTTTTCGAGATATAGCAGTACCAAATATCCAAAAAATAATAAAAATGTTTATATTTATAAATTTCGGTCTTCAGTCATTAGATAAACAATTACGACAAACGAGTTACAACAATTATTATTCAAATTTTCCACTGCAAGCTGTTAAACATGCTTCAGCACGCTGTGCTACTACTCGAATGGAATTGCGTATCATCTCTGGTGTTATTTGCTGTATTGTTTGAAATAGGCCACTGGTGTTCTGTACACCAATGTTTTAGGAAGCCCCAAAAGAAAAAATCACATGGCATTAGGTCTGGAGAACGAGGCGGCCAAGCAAATGGACCGCCTCTGCCAAGCCAACGTCCAGGGAAAGCATTATTTAGGTAATCACAACGTGCTGAAGCATGTTTAGCAGCAGATGGTGGAAATTTTGAACAACTCGTTTGTCATAATTGTTTATCAAATGATTAAAAATTTAAATTTTTTATTATTTTTGGATATTTAAAACTGCCGTATCTCGAAAAACATCGGTCTGATTGAAAAATGGTAGAGACACTTTTTATGGCCTTATCTAGCTTAACATGATCCCAGAGTCCGTGTCCGGGAATTTCGTAACACATTGTATAAAGGCATTATTTCACAAAACTCAATTTTTGACATTACTGCCTTTCCTTTAATAATATTACACAACATAATATTTACTGACTGAAAAAAAAAACTGATTTTTTTTCTTAAACGCAGTTTGTTGCCAATTAATAACTGTACCAAATTTAAAAACTCACTTAACTGAAAAAGTTATAGGGAAATATTGGTTTAAAACAATAAACTTGAGATTATGTAGCTCCGTTAATATCAAATTTTCGAAAAAACGTTTTGAGTTTTGAACTTATACCTACACCTTTTGCACGCAGTTTCCACACATCCCGTGCTATGTTAAAAGCAAAAAACTAATTCCAGCTAGAATTTAGTAATATAGTTGATTATACATACAGGGTGATTCACAAATGGTGACAAAAAAAGAAACCTACTATTCTTTTGTGAATTTTAAAGAAGTATTTTCTATAAAGTTTTTATCTAAGACGCTTCGTTAAAAAGATACAGGGTGTTAAACATCAAAAAATATTTTTAATTTTTTTAAATAATTTAAAAGCTAAGCGAAATAATTTGAAACTAGGCACATGTATTTATGTAAACCTTGTCCAAAATCTGACGGCTTTTCGTAAAATTTATATGCTCAAGTGGCGGAGATACAGGGTATCGGTGGAATATTTTTCTGAATATAATAGTTCGCCAGTACTTTACGGTAACAACCATTACACTTTTGGATTCGTCTTTCAATTTTACAAATTACTACTCTCTTATGTTTTTCGAAAAAAGCCTGAGTAAAAGCGAACTAAATACCGATACCGATATTCGATTATGCTTTTTAAAATTACATAGTGGGCTACGACAGCAACTTTGACATTCTGAGCAGTCAGAAGAAAGAATAAATAATGCTTTTCATCAGATTCAAGCAACAATAAATCTCGAACAAATTACATTTTCGTTACTAAAAGGATGTCGAGCCAGTGTTCGTGGAAATGGAGGTATTTTTAAGTATTTACTCAAATAAAATCATTAAAATGATGATGTTATTAATTTATTTATATGAATAAATAACCGAATGATTAGAGTTTGTCATGTTTTTTAAGTAAAAGTGTTTTCGGTTGATCTTTTAAATTTTACTCAAAAATCAGAATTTTTTCGAAAAACATATTAGAGAATATTAATTTGTAGAAAATTGAAAGCCGAATTCGAAAATATCATGGTTGTTACTGTAAAGCAGTGGCGTACTATGTTATTTAGAAAAGTATGCCACCGATACCCCGTATCTCCGCCACTGGAGCATGTCCATTTTAGAAAAAGCCCTCAGATTTTGGACAATGTTTACATAAACACATGTGTCCAATTTCAAACTATTTCACTTATTAGTTTTTAAATTATTTAAAATAATTAAAAATATTTTTTGAAGTTTAACACCCTGTATCTTGTAAACGAAGCGTCCTAGATAAAAATTTTATAGGAAAGACATTTATAATTCACCAAAGAATACGAGGTTTCATTTTGGTAACCATTTGTGAATCACCCTGTATATATTACAACTGTGTTAAAATAATACAACCAGACCAACGTAACCCATAGTAGGTATTTTCGCCCGCTGAAACTGAATCTAATTGTAGTCAGAATTTCCGGAGCAGATCCACAGGTATTCACATCTTTTCATGTATGTAGGTCGGTAATGATTCTAGTAAGTTCTCAATAAGTTTTAATATTTTTTTATTAGTAGTAATTTTAATCATCGTGTACTAGTTTCAACAATTTTGAATATTAAAAATGCTTATAATTAATGCATTCTACCCTCCATTAAAAAATTTTCTATAAGTTTGCAAATACCCTATATTCACCATTCAAGAAATTATTTGTTTATTTAACTTTTCTTTTATCCCTTTACTGTTGATTGAAAATTATCTATTTTTACATATGCTGCGAAGTAAGAAAAAATATTGAGAATTTAATAACTTAAATGAATATATTTTTCAATGTGGAATTTATTATTAGATACAAATTATTCCCAGAAAAATAATTGACTGATCCTTTTGAGACAGCGCTGCAAACTTGTAATTTTTAGAAACACTTCATTTATTGTTGTCAATTAGCTGATTTCACTTGAAAATGCTATTTTGCGTTTGTATTTGCATAAATAAATAACTTCATCGTTCCAATTTTTTTACCACTACTTACACAATATATCTAATTGAGGCATCCACTTCTGGATCATGACATTATCAGGTTTTCCTTCCATCGTTTCACTCTCCCATTTCCACAGCACTCTCTGTGGTAATCTGCTAAAGGCTCTCAAGAAAACGTCCCTTTTTTCTTTAGGAAAGGTGTCACCCTTGATTAGAGATCCAAGAGCGAAGTATATCACTCCTTCGGGTGATTCGTTTATCCATTTCTCAATATTCTGAAGGAAAAAGTACATATAAGAAAATATTTATTTAATTAAAAGAAATTGCGGATTTCATAAATACAATAGTTTAATAACATGACATGGGATAATAATAAAAATTGTATAATTCTTTAAAGGGGGATGGTAGACATATTATTTACGATATCTTACATAATAGCCGTTAGAAATATTTTATTATTATTTTAACCATAGACCTAGGCACTTATTTATGCAGTATTCTTCAAATCCTAGGTGTTGGGTAAGGAGAACTAATAGTTTTAAATTAGATGTACCTATAAGCTAATCACTATTTCATCGCCAATCATCTAATGTTTAAATTCGCTCTCGTGAGTAAATCTGAAGTGATTCGATTTATCAAATTTAAACAGTATCTTTTTTTTAATAGTTTTGAGATAAATTTTTATTCATTCATATATTTTTAGATAAACTTTTGGATGAAACGTTGCTGCTCACTTCATACAACTACGCATTACGTAAAATATTGTGAATATAACCACAGACAATATAACGTATCGCTACAGACTGCTACTTAAATGCTGGAAATTGGCAGCCCGAAATGGAAGCAGGCTTCCAGCTGTAAAATTTAGCGTGGTAACTCTTCTACTTGGTAATAGGTGGCAGTTCCAGCGGTGGCTTTGTTGCCAAATAATAACTGATAAATAAATTTAATGCTTTCAATTGTGTAATTAAAGAGATAAGGAACTTATCTTGTGTTTGGAAATCACATTTGCCTTAAATGTTAAATAAAATAAATCAAGTTAGAATTAAAACTATGAATTTACCTAATTAATTATTTATTTTATATCACCTTGGAATGGGAAAATTCAAAAACTCGAAATTAATATTTTTAGATTTGTGCGTCGACTTCCAATATGGTACGATATTAACACCTATGTTTAAAAAAATTGCATTATACAGGTTGTGTATCCTTAGATGGATAGAATTATTGACACAAGTGTTGCATATCATGGATGCCATTGGTAGTGCTCATATTTGTGATACAAGGTGTCCAAAAAAATTAACACAATGTAAAATTGCTGGAACCTCAAGAAGTAGGTAGTTGAATACGAAATTTATTTGAAAAAAANGTCATTGGTAGTGCTCATATTTGTGACACAAGGTGTTCAAAAAAATTAACACAATGTAAAATTGCTGGAACCTCAAGGAGTAGCTGAATACGAAATTTATTTAAGAAAATCAATCAATACAGAGATAAGATAATGCATTCGCTACTACTGTTGCAATTTTTGACTAACTTTTTTGTTTTTCGACATACTGACTTCGGACCGTTTCCATTCAACGCAGAACGAACAATCATAACCAGAGTAGTGGGGAGATTTTTTTAATTATTTTTCAATTCAACGCACCGTTTCCGAATTATAAGACCTTTTTTACTGTATCACCTCACACACCTCTTCTTTCCGAAATTTATTTTCCACATACGGACTTCGGACCTTTTCCATTCAACGCAGAACTGACATACAGAACCAGGAGTGTGGGGAGATTTTTTCAATTATTTTTTCGATTTAACG